GGGGGGGGGGGGGGGCTACTTCTCTGGAGTGACTCATGGATGCTCTCCAGTGCCGGCAAAAAGACGCTCCAGTTCTTCCTTTGGAGATCTCTGCTCTTTGTCTCAGCGCAGGAGTGTGTACCTGGTTTTAATAGTGTATTCTTCGATTTGTTTGTGCATATGCCAAAGTACGTTTCGAAATCTTATGGGTCCAAATGATGATTGTTCCTCTCCATCCTCTCCCAGTCCCTATCTCCCCCCCCACACACACGCCTGTAGCCAATAATGTAAACACTTGAACCCCTGGATTCCAGTGTGCCTGAGCCAGCGGTCTCCCCCCCCACCCCCTTTTTTCCTCTCTAGGCTTTTTATAACTGTGGTTATTCCTCCTCTCCGGATCCCCTTTGGCCCCCCTCCTCCTCCCCCTCCCCTCCGTCTCACCAGGTTGTTCATTTGTGATTTAAAAGTACCGTATTTGCATTTTTCTTAAAAAAAAGAAAAAAGAAAAAAAGAAAAAAAAGAAAGAAACTTAACTGAAATGTCTGTGTAGTAAAAAAAATTGAATGACTTTGGAACAGACCAAATTAGCAAATGAATAAAGTGTTTCCTTTTTTCCCTCCCCTTCCCCTGGTTTATTTTTATTTTTTTTTTAAGTCCGCGGAGAAAGGAAAATATTTATTTTGTCCTTTTTTGTTGTTGTTTGTTTTCGATTTGGTAGCCCAACCGCTCCGGGATGGTTTGGAAACAAGGCGGACGGCTTGTTTGGGGGGTTTTGAGGAAGTTTCTCAAAACAAATTTCTCTTTTTTAAAAGATAGATAGATAGATAGATAGATAGATAGATAGATAGATAGATAGATAGATAGATAGATGATAGATAGATAGATAGATAGATAGATAGATAGATAGATAGATAGATAGATAGATTAGGTACAGTTAGTTAGATAGATAGATAGATAGATAGACAGACAGACAGACAGACAAATAGATAGATGATAGATAAATATAGATAGATAATAGAAAGAAAGAAAAAAGAAAGATGTAGATGAGAGAGAGAGATACAGAGAGAGACAGATAATAGATAGAAATTAGATAGATAGATAGATGATAGATAGATAGATAGATAGATAGATAGATAGATGATAGATAGATAGATAGATAGATAGACAGATAGATAGACAGACAGACAAATAGATAGATGATAGATAAATATAGATAGATAATAGAAAGAAAGAAAAAAGAAAGATGTAGATGAGAGAGAGAGATACAGAGAGAGACAGATAATAGATAGAAATTAGATAGATAGATAGATAGATAGATAGATAGATAGATAGATAGATAGATAGATAGATAGATAGATAAATATATTTCTAATATGATAATACGATAGGAAAAGAAAGAACTTTGGGAAAGGCGAGTTGAGGAGATTACTTCCGTGGGGATCCCGATTGGAAGTTTGAAATCGGTGGAAAGCGCTTCAGGGGCCTCTGAATTTTGATAACGGTGACATGCAAAGGGTTTTGTGTTTTTGTGTGTGTGTGTTTGTGTGTACTTAACTGTCCGTTTTAAGAAAGCATCCCAGGTGTTCAACCTGATTCACATTCTAGTAGGATGCGTCCAAGGCACTGCCTGCATTGGGGTGAAAAAAAATACTGTTTTTGTATTCAGACCACATTGCTGGGGTTAATCAACCGAGCCCTATCTGCAAAATATCCACTTTGGATCTAGAGAGAAGCCGGCTGAATTCTGGAAAAGAAGGATTTGAGGCTGTTGTGCTGCCAGATGCTAAGAAAAGTTCACGGAGGGGAAAGCAAGGCTGTCGGGCGTCTGCTAGTCCACAAGGTTATAGGGAACTGCTAGGAGTAGGGGCAGTCTACCTTCCAATGCCAATTGCTGCAGAGGGATCGGTTCTCACGCCCTGATGGTGGCTTTCTGCCTGCCCATTGTTGGAAACCGGATGCGGTGCCAAACAGGACTTTCTCTTTAAACAAGTCTTCCTTTCACACACACACACAAACCCCTTTTTTTTTTTAACCTGCCATTTTGCAGGCCAACCCTGGAAGTTCAGAAGCCTGCTTGCTAGCAACTTAGTCTCCCCTCTTTCTCCGTTCCCTCCCCCCCCCAATCTGTGGACCAGCAACTGAGATCTTTTTTCGCAACACAATCCTGGGTGCAACAAGGATGGGTGTTTTAATTCCTCGCTTCCCGAGCTTCAAAATCACAAGGCGGTGGATATTTTGTCGTTTGCTCGATGAACGAGCACTTACAGCGTTTGTGCGAGACGGGCAGTTGCCCTCCTTGTCACCAGGGGAAAAAGGGGATTTTTTTTTTTTTCCGGTGGGGCACGGAGAAGACATTTTACACGGCGTTGAAGACCTGGCGACACTACGTCACGGCCAGGTTCACCTGACTTAGATGGAGCTTTAAAAACGGCGCTGCGAAATGCGTGGTTTTGTCCCGCTGTTGGGAACCGGCTTCGGCCGCGGCATCGGGCATTTTTAACCTTGTTTGTGTCTGGATCTTGCCTGTTACGGGGACATTCCGTATTGTCATTTTTTTTAACCTGGATTTTAGGACTTCGCACAATCCAGGGCGGTGCTGGATCCAACACGCTCTCTGGATCTGGAGGCTTCATAATATCCCCTTCACTCTCCCGGCTGTCCCGGGGAGCGGAGTAGAGGCAGGGGGGGTCCCAAAATCTCCTTCCCTTCTGCAGGATTAGAACCAGCACGTGTTGGCAGAGGCTGATGGTTTTGGGCTGGCAACCTGCACTAGCACAGGGCGTCCCGAGTTACGACAGCTCATTGAGGGACCGTTCAGACTTACAACGGCGCCGAAAAATGTGACCTGTGAGCGTGTTTTTCCCACTTACGACCTTTGCAGCGTCCCCAGGGTCACGTGATCCAAATTCAGGTGCCGGGCAACCGGTTCGTTTTTTATGACCGTTGCTTTGTCCCCAAGATCACGCGATCCTCCGTGAAAGGCAAAAATCAATGGAGAAGCAGGATTCGTTTAACGACCAGGTGGCTACCGTATCAACTTCAGCGACTGACTTAACCACGGAGGCAAGAAAAGTGGTCAAATGGGGCACACTTCACTTAACACACGCGTGTGTCACAACCACAGAAGGTTTGGGGCTGAATTGCGGTCATACGCCGAGAGCCATTGATTTGTTACTTATCAAATTCAGAGGCCCAATCGTCTCGCTCAGAGAGTGATTGCAAGAAATAAATTAAAAAAAAAATCAGCGTTCCAATTTTGGGACGGGGGGCCAGGAAGATACCCCAGTGTCAGGCTTTAAGGGGTGGCTGTCTCATAATGCGGTGGTCTTCCGTAGGGAGAGGGGAAATCAGAGCTTCTATCCCTCGGAGCTTGACAGGTTGTGACCGGGCCACAGCCACAAAACACGCACCGCAGCTTCTGACTTAATCCAGAGCAAAAGCAGAGGAAATACAGGATTGCGGGGCTGGTTGTGGTTCGCACTGGGCGAGCCGAGACTCAGAGACTCAGACCGAAGGGTTGGATCCATCAGGAACAGCCTGAGAAACTTGTCTCTGAAGATGTATGTGTGGGTCTTTTTGCATTTGTGATGGGGAGAGGTTAACGGGCCTTGCTGCCTAATTTAAAGCCAGCAGTATTTAGTTGTGTAAAAGAACAACAAACGCAGTTCCGGATGCGCTGTTTTATACCTGTCATGACAGCTGGAGTATCCAGCCTTTTTTAAAATATATATATATATATCTGTAAGTTTATCTAATTGCAGGGAAAATAAACAGGCAGTGCTGTTCTTCTGGACAGGTAGAGAGATGAGAAGCAATTCCAACAATCCATCATCGTGATTTTTTTTTAATTCCTGGAGAGAAATCTCTTTACGGGTTGGGTTGCGAACGAGCCAAAGGGCCAAAGCAGTAGAAATCATCCCTAATCCCTGTCTTTATAGCCCTAGGAACTTTTACCCACAGATTTCTTGGACCACAATTGCGCGTCGTTGGTTTTTGCTGGCTTTCAAGGGCCTAGCTAGCTGGACTTGGGGAGGTTTTCAGCGTAAAAACAAAAGTATTTGCTTTATTCCCACCCCAGTTCCCGGCTCCCTGGGGGCTTCTCTTAAATGCCACCCCATTCTTACTGGCAGGAAAAGATCTGGCGCTTTGTCCCCACAAGGAGTTGTGTGTTTTGCTTGGCAGGGACGTCTGGCGCGCGAAATGCTTCCATGGCTCTCGGTCCTTCCTCTGATAGCCTGTGGGATGCGTCCCCAGGACTCTTTGCTTCACGCTGGATCTCATGAAAAAAAAAGAGTATTTACCAATAAAGGAGAATATTTGTAAGCTCAGGGCTGAGATGAGGGGTCCTTGGTGCCCTCTGAGCTTGGTGGTTTTCTTGCAGACCTTTTATTACCTAACCAGGTAAAATCATCAGTGCTAGAAGGGGGTGAGGTTTGCAGAGAGGAGGAGGAGGAGGAGGAGGAGCAGGAGGACAGCGACAACTCTGGGCTCCTTGATGCTCTCTGAGCTTGGTGGTTTTCTTGCAGACATTTCATGACCCAACTAGGCAACATCATCAGTGGGAGGAGGAGGAGGACTATGGGGTCCTTGCTGCTCTCTGAGCTTAGTGGGGGGTTGGGGTTTTTTTTGCAGACGTTTCATTACCCACTGATGATGTTCCCTAGTTTGGTAATGCAATGTCTGCAAGAAAAGCACCAAGCTCAG